AGGCTCGAAGTGGCATCTGCGGGTGGGAGCGTGGGCGTCGACCTCCTCCCCGCCGAGCGTGTCTGGACCCCCTGCCCCGGACCTCCGGGCAGCTTCACGCCCCTCCGGGACTCCCCCCAACGCCACCGGAGCCGGATCCTGTCCTGCTTCCCAAAGCTCTGGCCCGAATTCGGCCGCTGTGCACCCTCCCGAGGTCGCCGCCTCTGGGATATTCTTCACCTGCAGCTTCACTAACCCCATTTTACTGATGAGCAAACTGAGGCGCGGCGGTCAATGGCAGGCCTCCCTGGGTCTGCTTACACCTCCTACTGCTTTCCCTTGTCACCACCGCCTGATACCTACCTGCCGGCCCCCCACAGTAGAGAAGTTTGCAAGTTCCCGGCGCCCTGGTACCGATTTTCACACGTCCTGTGAGCCAGACCGCTCCAGCCCATGCATAGCGCATCCTCCGTGACTGCCCTCTGGGATTCTGTAAACGAGGAAACTGAGGCTTCGGCCTGTAATGGTGGTCACCGGACACCTTGCCCCTTCTTGTCCCCTGCTCTTCACTTGCTCTTCCTGTAAGCTCTCCTCACCTCCTCCTTTCAACCCCTCTCTGCTCTGGTTCCCGAGCGCCTCTTAGAAACCCTTCCCAGAAGCTGGCGACTCCCTTCGCCCCGATGTGTCTGCCGCGCCTCCTGCAGGTGGACAGCGGCTGGTGCAGGCCTGGCGAGGAGCCCGTCTGGGGTTTACCGCAGCAGGGCTGGGCAGCCACCAAGAAGAGACTTTAGCCCTGGGGAACTGGCGCTTCGGGACTTGACGGCCTCTACTCCTCAGTCTCCGGCTAAGGAGACACACATACATACACAAAACTGTTGATTTCCAAGGTGACGGATACTGCCTGTCTTATGATCTGAGCCTCTGAGAGAAATGACACCAAAGAATATGAACACAACTTCTCAGAGGAAAGAGACGTTTTGATCACGAGTTCAATCTCCATCTTTGCAGAGGAAAGAACCAGGGACTCCAAGAGCAGAAATGCTTTGGTCCAGGGCCACTCGGCAGGGAGCAGGCAGAGCTGTGACTAGGAGGCTGGCCTCCTGCCTGGCCAGTGAGGCTGCAGAGAGGCCTGGCCCACAGGGACAGCCCCTCCCCGGTGGACCAGGGAGACTAAAAAGCCCCCCCCTCAGACTTTTGCTTCCTTCAAACACCACAGAGGTGCAACTTGGGGTGACCTAGATGGCCAGAGCTTTTGGGTCTGTGGGTGTGGGTTCCTCCCTGTGGAAGTGGGAAGAGAAACACGGCCAAAGAGAAGAAAATAGGAAAGGTGACATATAGGAGACCGAGGAAGGATTAGACAGTTGGGTGAGGACCCCAAAAGGAGCAGGTGGATGAAAAGAGACCCTACTTAGAGCCACATTTCTTTCCCTTCCCTTCAGGCTCTCTCTTAAGGGAAACCATGTGATTGGTCACCCCAATTGAGAAAAGAAAAAGAGAGGAGAAAAATGCCACCCAGGCGTGACTCAGAGTCCAGGACAGCAGGTGTAACAGAACTGGGGGGTGGTCACCCTGTCTCTGGGACACCACATCTCTGGTGGTCTCTCAGCCTCCCTGGCTCAGCTCAGCTCCAGACCTCCTTTTCCAGCTTGCTTCACCCCCACACAGCAGTCACAGGCATCCATTTCAGCAGCCTCGCCTATGTATTTTCTATCCCAGCTGAGGACTTCACCCTTTAGCAGGTGCCCCAGCCTGGAAGTCCTCGTGACCAATGTTTTCTCCTCATCCCGTGATCCCTAAGACCTGGCAGCTCAGCTTCCACCATAGCAAGTTGTCCCACCTCTCGCCAAGCCTGACTTCGTAGCCCAACTTCAGTTACCCAACCTTCTCCCCCTGGGTTACCCTTCGTATTCTTCCCCAAACCCTTATAACTGTGGATCCCAGCCGAGCTGGGGATCACGCAGGTGTGAGACATCATGCAGAGTCTCCTAGCAAGTTGGACCCACATCCTCACGGTTGTAGACTGTTCTGGAGCCTCTCCGGGGTTTTTAAATGATTGGTGAGTCTCCGGGGACCTCACCAAGTGTTGATTTGCTTGGGGCTCAGGAACCCTGTTGGAAGGAACTCAGTTTAGTATCAGAAGCATTTTGACCTTTTACCTGGACAGAGATTGCTGGAAGAAAATGGCAGGATGGAGAGCCAGGAAGCAGCCTGGGGGAGGGAGATGTTCAGCAGCAGCAGCTGCTGCCCGGACCCAGCACCAGGTCTGGAAGTGAGAGTCAAGAGGCCAAGGTGTGTGAAACTGCACCTGAGCTTCAACCTATGGAGCATGGCAGCGTGCTTGTGTTTTGGTGTCAATCTAAGAAATCATTGTCAAACTCAAGGTATGGAGACTTACTCCTATGTTTTCTTCTAAGAATGTCATAGCTTTATTTTTTTAAGGTTTATTTATGCACACAAGAACTGGGGTACAGACCAGAGGTGTGGGGGTGGTGAGAAGATTCACCAGAGACAGAGTGGGGAGCAGAACAGGCAGATTTAATGAAATACACTGCTGAGGGCAGCAGTGGGTCGGAGGGCACCCTGTGGGGCCAGGAGAGGGCACCCTGTGGGGCACATTCCTGGCCAGGGGTGGAATTCTTGCCCCAGTGGCTGAGGACAGCATCATAGTGCTGAGCGTTAACTCCTTGCGCCACTAGGGAGGGGCCTGTTGTCTTCTGGTTTTCTCTAAATTTATAATACAATGTAGATAATAAATCAAATACAGGTGATTGAATTTTGTGTTCTTGATATGCCTGCCTTATAGGAGGTGGTGGTTCTGCCATCAGGAGTCACCTAATGTCAGGGTGACTGTATTCTGTGACGTCAGCAGCACTGTTGAAGCCTGCAGGTCACCTTGCGAAGATAAGGCTGCTCTTTCCTCAGTGCCAGTGTCCACACTACACGGTATAATAAACAGCACGTGTTACATTTCCTTTCTTTCACGCCCCTCATTGTCCCTGGTTATATTTCATTCTCCAGAGGGACTGGCATGCTCTCTGGGTTACA